ACTGTTGGTACGCCCTGTAGCAGCTGCGTTCTCTAAGGTGTATGTACATATTGGTAACGGACCTGTAGCATGGGCTGCGTTCTCTAAGGTGGATGTACATATTGGTAACGTGCCTGTAGCAGGCTGCGTTTCTCTAAGGTGTATGTAACTATTGGTAACGCCTGTAGAAGGCTGTCGTTCCTCTAGGATGGTATTAGGTGTATTTGGTACGCCTGTAGCAGCTGCGTTTTTCCTAAGGGGCGTAATAACATATTGGTACGCCTGTAGCAGGCTGCGTCTTTAAGGGAGTAAGGGGGGGGAGTATTAATGTGTGTGCTTATGGCTCGTGGCAAAAGGCTACCGAGTGCTACTATTGTTTTGGTGTTTCGAGGCCTCTGGTGTCGCGAGTGAATAGATTTTGCAACTGTTCCCGCACACAGGTAGGAGGCCCTTTAAGGGAGTAGGTCCTTTAAAGGGAAGGTAGGAGGTCTTAAAGGGGATGGTGGTTTAAAAATTTCGGGTTTATAGCGTCTGGGTGTATATATTTTTATTATATTCCACGGTTTAAATACATTCCATGTTTTAGGTAATGTAGTCATAGTTATTCCTTCCCCATCTTCCATTTCATATATTCCCGGTATGATTGGTGGTATTTCCTATTGGGATGTCTCTAACGTACAATCCTCTTCGTCCTTTCAGGTGCTGTCCTGCCGACCTACAGAAATGGAGAACGAGAAGAAAGAACCGGATCGAATGGATTTCGGAAAACGAGTCCTAAGAAGATAGATCTAGAGTACGTTGCACGCTGTAAGCGTAAGTGACCCCCAAGCACTAGATGTACGCGAACGGAGATAGTCTTGGGCGGTCAATGAAAGGGGTCTTAACTTGCTTGGTTTATTTCTGAAGATAGATATGGACCCCAAGAGACCCCTGTCCCCGTGTGGAGGCCGAGGTGGTGGAGGCTGGCCCTGTGTCGCTTTGCCTGTCTGCCGTGTCTCCTTGTGTCCCCCTGTGTCTTAGGCAACTTGGCCCTTTATGCGGCGGTTTTCTTGAGGGCGGATGTTTTATTCCGTGTGAAAAGAGAAAGGAGGGCCAATCCCTGCATCCTGCGCAAGGGAAAAGGCATTTGCTTGGACTCGAGGTGTGAATCTGCCATGGGTCTTGCTACGTATTGTTCACATCGCTCGGCCCGCAAAGGCTCGTCCTCGAGCCGTCTGCAACGCTGGAACACTGCAGTAGCACTAGGGATACAGGTTCTGTTCGGTGGTCTACGATGGTTCCTGGTGGTCCGATGGTCGCTTGGGTCGTCTGCGCTTCAAGGTAGCGGTGCGGCGGAGGTTTCGCACTGAGGTGCAACATTCAGTAATGCGAGGAGGATCAATTCATCTTCAGAAGCTGAAATATAAGTGTACCAGGCCAGTAAAAGGCTAAGGGGGATGGTAATAATGTGTTTGTCAATCA